AAGATTTGACCTGATGTGCAGAGGGTCCAGGTGATTAGAAACTATAAGTTAAATTGTATTATAAATTCTGTATTACGCTACTTACAGATTGCACTGTATTGATTCTGCCTGTAGAAATCCTGTGCCGTTGCAATAATAAATTCTGTGCTATACTAATTGTAATATCCTGCTAAGAAAATAAAGCTTTAATTGTAACTACAACTTGGTGCTATCATCATTTTGCCAAGGATCCCTAAAAGAACCTGCCTGTCCCCTTAGTGTCGGCTGACCCAAGGTTAGAAGACAGCAGTTTTCCTGTACCTGAGACTTACTTGGAACAACTTTCCAGTAGCTGTGCATGATGGGAGAAGTTTTCAAAAACATACAAATTGCTTAGGAGTCTGCACCCTGGTGGAAAAGACAGTCAACAAGCAGAATATAGGGGATCTTGTCCAACTGTGAGCCATGTTAATACAGACTGATCCAAAACTCTACTGACTGTTCTTAACCAGGCACGTAAGCCTTAGTCCTACCAGCAATGCTACAACAAGCCAATTCTACAAGTAGCACCTTTTCAGCACAGAAAGCTGCAGCAGCTACAGGGAAGTGAATTCCACGCTAACTTTTATTACTATGGCTATTTAAAGCTCCAGTTCACAGCAGACAGATACAGCAACTATGGTTCATGTTGACTGCTCACAAAGCCAGGTGCTTCTTTCCTTACCACTGTCCAGTGCTTCCCCAAGCCCTCTCTCCTAAGAGGCACAGTAGAAAGGATATGCATTCAGTTTCCTTGTCCACTAATGCTATTGAGATAAAAGCTCTGAATTATGAGCTGCATCAGTCACTGTGATAAAAGGAGTGCATGCTGTAATTTTAGAAGGGATTAGGTAACTGAAAAATAACCACCTCTAACAACAGGCAGCTCGTTTCCATGTAACGCATGTTTACCTTGAACCTGTTAAAATAATCTAAATATGAAGTGGTATACGTTTAACATTTTCAGAAGCCTCTGGCTTTTAAACTATCGAATGTCTATATTCAACATTTTTGGGAGACAGACAACAAGTATGTTAGAGGACTCAGTCTTATCATTATAAGCAGCTTCGAACAAAGACTGGAGCAGCTTCTCACCAGCATTACATTCTAAGGAAAGAGGCAAGGTCTGTCTAGCACTAGCTGCTTAAAAATATAAAGTAACATGTCAGACCCTGAAGGAATTTTAAGTGCTGTTAGATGAATAGTTTATGACAATGCAAAATTCTACCCAACTTTTTTTTATAACAACATTTTCCCCTTTCCCAGGGTTCGGCTTTACTGCCAAATCTGAGTATGTGAGGCTAAACATTTCTTCAAATTTTAGCTTTTGCTAGATTTCCCTCCACAGATTGTCTGTCTCCAAATGGCACCCCCAGCCCTTTAAATCCAAGCTGAAAATCAAATACCTGTACAGGCATAGCAGAAAATTTGCATTACAATGCTACAGAGACCCAATTACAGTCAAAGCTGAAAATTTGACACCTTTGACAAGGAAAGTCAAAAGAGGATTATCTCTATTGGTGCGTATACAGATCCTCCAAGGGTTAGAGAAAAGTTTCTGAGCTACCAAAACAAAGCACAGAATCAAAATTCGCATTTCACAGCAAAAATGTTGCTGCTTGCAGTCATTTTAACTGTAAGCCCAGTATTTCAATTAAAACAAACCGATCAACATTTCGATTAGAATATATACTGTAACTGCATCGTTAAATTATGCAGAGTTGCTTTTACATTGTCCTTATGCCCCTAACTCTCCTCCATCTCCTGAACAAGCTTTATCTGGTCATCCCAGATTTAATGAGGACAACTGCCCTTTATGGCAAACAGTCAGTAAAACAATATAATCCATTCCCAGGTGTTAGGATTTTGTTCCTGTTCAATACTGTCCCACTCCCAAAGCACAAAGGTCCACGAGAATAGCTGAAGCCTTGATAGAAAAAGGAGGAAAAAGCCTATATAGTGTTGTTCAGTTTTTTTTTTTATAAAGGTTTTGTAACAGGTTTTGTTAAAAAAACCCAAAAAACAAAATAAACCAAACACTTCCCCCCCTCCATTCATATAATTTTCCAAAAACAGCCAAGTTAGTTTTATTAACTATAAGAGCTAACCTACTAAACACTTCTTCGCTTAAAAAGATCTGTTACTTTAATTTCTCACAATAAGCAGAAAAAAACATTTTCCAGAACGGCATATACTAATTTTACCGGTTCTTTAAATGCACTGTACCTTTAGATACACATCAACATTCAAAGAAATATTTTGTGACATATCCTTAACACAAATTGCTATTAAGCAGGCTACAAAACCAATCACATCACTTTGATGCCTGCTTATTAAAAATGCAGTTATTACCCCATCTTTTAAAACTGTATTTTCTCATTATTCTCCTTTCTTAAGTCTGTCCTCTAGTACTTCTACATATATGCTGCAGGCCTCATTCTTAGCAGTTCTTTGTCCTTCAGCATATTCTGTAATTTCAGCAGATGCATATGAAACACACATCTGCCAATCTAGAGCAAAAAAATTCTTCCCTAACATCATCAGGCTAGCATAGCATTACTAGCAATACAACCCTTTCCTCATATAGAAACACTATCATGCTTGCTCACTACACAGAGAAGTTGCATAGCTATTTTCCCAGCTGGCCCCATTTCTGTCCCAATTAACTCAGTAACTAGAAATGACTTACATAACAGCAGAAAGCTACAGAAGGCATTAATTACATTTTTATCTTACTAAAAATAGGACACTTTTATTCAGAAGGTCTGCTCAACTTCCCATTTATCTGCAATGTAAACAAAATGCTCAAAACCTTCCTATCAATATGTATTTCCACTGAAAAAAAACCAACCCCATAGTGTTCATATACTCTAAGCCAGAATTACTTCTCAGGTCACTGCAAGTGTTAGTCCTGAAGTGTAGGCACCATAATACACGCTCTTTAAAACATATTTATATATAAACATGTATTTATATATATTTAAAACATACCTTATTTCAGTTACAACTGACATCAGTATTTTAATCCAAAATTAACTGCAGAGCTAATCGATTTTTCACTCATGAGAATAAACAATTTCTTAAATGAAGTATGCTTTTCAAGTAGTATAAAAATTAAGCCATTGGACAATACACTTACTTTTCCACATAACCAGATGAAACAAATTGCAAGTTCTAGTCTTCCTACTATAAAAATAACATCACACTGAATCACTGAATTATTAGAAGTTACCAGAACAGCTTGAATATTCACTGATCACTACATCAATTTTTAAAGAGATTTCTCTCCAAAATATTCTTTCGAAATGCCTATGGAAAGCCTCACTATGGAAATACTTGTTTTACACTTCAAAGGAAATAAAAGCACAGAAGTGGTATTAATTGAATTTGTGTTAAAAAAGGGCAGTAGGTTTTAACAGTTTAAGTAGAGTAAAACTAAAATTAATTGAAAATTCTCTCTTTAAATACAACTATCACGGTTACAAATAGATGGTCACCTAAGAAGCAATAACCTACATTTTTTCATCCATATACCAGTTTCACCACTGCAATAGTCCTACATCATTTCAGTTACATAAAACTCCATCCTCTCTGAAAATAAGAAGAAACTATTAACTTGGAAACAGAAGTGTTAACACAGAAGTTTCCCAAATTGTTTTTTAATATGAATATATGTATATCCTCATATATTAAATATTTACAAATTATACCCTTCAAAATGCTTGAACATGCATGTAAAATGTAACTTTTTTAGCCTTAAAAAATTGCATTTCTGTCCCCACAAATATGCATGAAGATAATTAAGGCTGTGCAATAATTCTTCTGTTTTCGAGTTATTTATGAAACCCTGGCACTGCATAAGTAAGATTTTTTGCATTACAAATTTTACTTCTTGTATTTAATCAGTACATTTAAGAACAATACACAAATTATTTCCTGCTGCAATGGATATCAAGTAATAATCTAGTATTTACAACTCTGCTTCTGATCAAGCATAAATCCTGCTCTAACATGAACACACATACCTCTTTTTTTTTAAATCTGTCCTTGTATTTTAAATCATGTTTTCTTAGAGGAATGATCAGCACAGTCCGAGATACGGTTTGACTGTCTAAAACACATTTGTCACTAGGCAAAACACATGGTTGCACAGATTAACACTATGGTGTGCTCTATGTATTTACTTCCTCATGCTCTCTAAAATAGCAAAATGATAAACAGAAGGCACAACTACAACACTGTGAAGATTACTGGTCCCAGCCTTGGGACTGCCTTTCACTTGGCAAATTTAAGACGAAAGGAAGTCCAAGATAACTGGTAGACAGCAATGACCACCCCCCCCCCCCCCCCCCCACAAAAAGCAATCAACCAAAAAACCCCAAAACCATCCCCCCAAAACCCCCACTCCAAACAGTCAACATGCCCTCAGACACTGTGTCAAGAAATACTAGAGAAACATCTACATAAACCAACTGCAAGATTATTGCATTGAGTTCATCTAGGTAAAACATTTGGTATATATATACAATACTTTGCTTTCCACAACTTCAAGCCTTAGAATTTTTTTGTATTATTGCAATACTAAAAGCTACCTTCAACTGAATCCTATTTCAGGCTCTTGTCACAATGACCAACTTTTTTTTTTTTATTAACAAAAAAAAAAAAAAAAAAAAAAAAAGGGAGCAACTCCACAGCATGCGACTAATCAGATTCAGCAACCTTCCAGTACATTGTTCAGAAACCACTAACTTTACCTTTTACCTTAAAGATTCTAGATTTGTTGTAATTTTAACTGGAAGCTCTGAATGTATTTTTCCCATCAACAATTTACGGTGTAATGTTCACATTACTTGCAGTGAGTCTATTTGTAGTACAACTTCTATAAAAGCACAAAAACAACTGTGCCAAAGCACTTATAAAAAAAGCACATTGTACATGATAAAAGCTCATAAATAAAAAGTACCTCAGGAATTTAGTTTTACCTGAAGGAACAGCTGTACTGTTCTGGTGGGTTTCACCAGGTGACACAAATAAGTCTTCCTCCCCTTCAGTAGATGAACTTGAAGAAGATTCACTACTGAGATCATTCTCACTGGAACTGCTAGAGCTGGGTAGTAAAGCGTACTTTCTTCGAGCTAACACTTCCCGCTTTTTCCTCTGCATTAAAATTCGTTCCTTTTGGTTCTGTGTCCGCTGTGATGAACTTGTTTTCACAAATCTCTTCCTATATGGAAGTCTTCTTAAAGAACTGCTGTGAAAACAGGGCCTTTTCATTAATAACCCAGGTACAGTGTCTGCCTCAGTCCGAGGCCATTTTTGGGACCTTGCGCTATGAGTTCTACTTGTGGTATTCAACACTGCCTGAGGATGTCTTACAGGAGCATCTTTTTCTTCATCAGATGTTACTGTGTCAGAATCTCCAAAATGTAGGCTAGATGAAGGTGAAGAGATACAGTCACTAAAAGAAGAATCATTGTCTTCACTCTGTGTTTCTAGAGGCCGTCTTAATCGTAAGATTCCTTGGTTTTCTTTATCAGGACAATTTTGAGTATATGAAGGACCAGCCTGCTGGCTCTTGCGTTTTTTTCGCACCACAATACTTTTGTCTTGGTCTGTATGGTTGCCATTCATGTCCTTCTGCTTCTGAGAATCACCACGTAAGTGAGAAAACTCATTCCCTACTTTACTGGCAATCATCTCAACTTCTGCAGTGAAGCTTTTGGCTGCCCCAATAGGCTCAGGGTTCAAGAGGATCCCCTTCAGACTCTCCTGTCTCTTTGGTGCATCAGAAGGAACTTCACTCTTCATATCCGCTTTTAGAGTATAAACTATTTTACATTCAGGAGTCCATTTAGACATGGAAAGTTTTAAGAAAGGCCTAGAAATAAGAATAGATATGCATCAAGAAAAAGAAGCATCAGACTGAAATTAGAGAAAAGCCGTTTACTGCTAAGACTAACCCCTGCAGTGGGAAAAGCGGAACAGCAGTAAATGAAACACAACTGTTTCATAATATTAAGAATACCACTTGACAACGTAATTTTGAATTAAGACACAACTCTTACAACTTGCTTTGAAGGGAAGTTCTTGTAGTCAGTGAAAACATTATCACATTCACAAAGTAAGTATCATTATATGTCACCTGCAAAACGTACGGACAATGTCTGTCTTGCCGATGCTTAAGCATGAGTTTTACAGGCTACTGCTTATAGAAGTTACGTATGTTTCAGCTAAATAGCTCCAACAGCCATCAACTACGCTGCCTGCTTATGCAAGGCCTACATCTTCCCCTCTGGCTGTATATATAGATAGTAGATACCGTGAACACAATACATGGTACAGTATGGTAACAATTGAGCTATAAATATCAGCTACTTAGAATTCATGGTTCTTTTCTGACATGAAAAGGAATAAAACAGGAGAGATTTTGAACCTTACTATTTTGGGGTAAAGTAATAGAAATCCATTTATCACCTAGATTTTCTTTCAAAAAAGACCACACATTAATAGTACAGTGTACAAAGCTATTTTCAGTCCACGTACTTTTGACTCTATCCTGTGACAGAAACTGAGCATATCACATCACATGTTCCCTTAATAGTTGGTACCAGGCAGGTTCCCCTCCCTGTCAAAATATTAGGCTGTCAACATACAAGAACGCAACATGAGCCTCAAAGACTATTTCAGAGAAAAACTTTTGTACTGGAAGACTGAGACACAGGCAACAGTAACCTCAGTAATATAATCACCTTCAGCCTGCTTCATCTGGCATCTCTGCCTTGTGTTTAAGTTCCCAAAAGGAAGCAACCAAAGAATTCGGTATCACTTCTTTGTGCCTCAGATGAATAAGGCTATAGTAGACAATAGACACTTGTACTACTTGAGCAGTTAAGTGCTCCCTCTTCTCTCCCTCCCTCACCACTTGTTTGAAGGAACATCTCCTGTGCTCTTCTAGAAGAAATGTTTATGCACTGAACCAGAATATAGAGCTGACCAATCTGAAAAATAAATTTCCCAACCAGATCAGACACCAATCCAATTAATCACATAAGCACACAGACAGCTATATATGACTTACAGCAGGTCATGCTGAACTACCAGAGGGCTGGCTTAAGAAAAACATGTGCAACCATACCTTCTGTGGAAACGAGGGTCCTTAAGCAGCACAGTGGGAATATGCATGAAGCCACAAAAAGAGTCTAAGGCAGCAACAGCAAGATCTACGGCAGGTTAAGTAGCATCGCCTACTAAGGTCCATAATCTTCTGCCTGAACATCCAAATTCCTCAAACTGCCAATGCATTCTTACATCTGCTGCTAATATTTAAAGCTCATTTATTTTGTCATAGAATGAATCAATACAAGATTGAGACTACAGAACAGAGTCAAATCAGCATTTCTTATACTGTTTCACAAACTGATACTTTCAGGAGCAGCTGTGATCTAGTTGTTCCTAACAGACCCTGAAGAATGACTTACCTCACTTTGCAACGGGTATAAACTGATGCATTATCCCAGGCAGCCTGTGTTCTCTTCACAGACATAAGCAACTAATCTAATTCTTGAAGTGATGTAATCTGGAATAAAAATTTTGCACAAGGCATATATGCTGCAGTACTAACATCTAAGGAAGCCGTAAGTTTACTGGATCTTTCTGGAGATCAAGTATCTTGTGGATCTTGGAACCCCAACTGACAAGATCAATCTGAACGTTCTCACTGGAAATCCTACAAACATTTACAACAATTACTGATAAATCTAAGGCCTATGCCCTGTGATAACTAAGAAAGCATTGCCGTTTTCTACTGGAATTACAGCAGATAGGTATGTTTTACATCAGGAAGTCAAAAGCTAACTACATGCAAGTTGGACTAAAATTCCTCTTGCCAGTATAAAACAGGATAGGTTCTTACTTTCACTTCATCAAAGCACAACTCACAGTAGGAGATACTTCTTATTTTCCAAGTGTTGAACTGAAGACTGCTGCATCCTGGACAACACACATGCAATTTTTTATTGCAGCAAATTTTAGTGGAATGCACTATAAGGCTCCCCTTTTCTCTACAACTGAACAAAAGAAATTGCAAAATCAGAAGAAAACTTGGAATAAACATTAAGAGTTTAAGAAGTCTACATAGCGAACAAAGACACCTCTATTAAAGCTGTGGAATTCTGTTATCTACCCTTCTCTGGTTCTGACAGCTCCTGAGGAAAATACCAGCTCTCACATGCTTCTCCCTTTGCATGTACTTACCCTCACATATATGCACCATCTTTCTTTGGAAAAATTAAGACTGAGACTTCCATTTTATAAAATTTCTAAGAAGGACAGGAAATCAGAATTGAAACCTGTTATAAGCACACAGAGAACAAGCAGGACAGTCTTTTTCTCATCCTCACAAGGTCACCTTTAAGTCAGTATTTTTTGTCTGTTACTTATGCACCACTGTTTTACAGAAATGCAACACCTAGTCAATCTTTTCCATAGTCTGAAAACAAACTAACTCCTCCCACAATAAACCTGTATTTCATCACAAGTGTTTTAGAAAATCCACAAAAGATTTCCATGGGGTTAAGCAAGCTAGTTTATTCCAAGAGCTTACTGTCTTTCAACACAGTCAGAACTTACCATCATATACTACATGTCCAGCCTATACACAACAGTTTCCTGTCCTTATAACATGATAAATTAAGCAGACAATTTTATTTAATTCTGAAGTTTTCTAAAGAAACAGAACATTTTCTCACTATGTTAGCACAAAGAGGGGCTCGTTTACAAAGAATTCAGCTCTACTCACTGGAGTGTTCCACCCCCTGTTTTACTGTTAAGCTCTGGTGTGGAAATCTCCATCAGTATGAAAGTTCTGCATTTTGAATGTGATTATCTTTGTATAAGCTCTGTTTACTTTAGCACAGAGCGCACTGTGCTGAAATAGAGATAGAGCTATTTAAGTTATGGCAAAAAAAACTAAAGCAAGAAAAAGTTTACATTTTGACAAAAACCCTAAACCACTAAACAGTGAAAACTAGTGCACTGGAAACACTTACTAGCTTAGTTTTATTTCAACCACCAGCCTAGATATAATTGCCAGTTAACTCAGATTCAAACACTTTGTATATTTGCACTCTGACAACCACGGGAAAGCCTGCAGTAACTCAACTAAGTGATCAAGAACTCTTCGTTTTTGCTAACCAATACAGAGCCTGAAGGACTGCTTACTCATGGGAGAGCTGCTGGCCTCCAATTAAAAACCAGACAACAGCTTAAACCTGAGTATATTTTTGAAGTGTATGGCAGCAATTAGCAATGACTAATAATCCATTCCTTCACTATTTAGAAATGCTGTTACCAACCTTTGAACAAAGGGTTTGACCAAAAAAGACAGAAGCTAAAAGAATTTATCATTTAACTAGATTCCAATCCATTTTAAGTATTTTCAGTGGTTAGGCACATGAAATACCCATACTACACAGAACTCCAATGCTTTGACACAGAAGATAAAATTTAAGAGGGACTACAAAAATACTGTGAAAAGAATTAAAACTCATTAGAATGAGATCATCTGCTGTTCAACGTTTAGAAGATCCTACAAAATCTCCCTCTAATTAAAAGCAGTCTTCACAAGCTTTTTCGAAAAGCAGCAAGGTGCAGTAAGTAAACTCAATCCCTATTAGTGTTCCTCCTTCCTAATCAAAACATTTACCTGTTAACTTACAGAATCCAGACTTTGAGAGGAAAAAAAGGGCAGTATCTTCTTTTAGGCCATTTTAAGCAGACTCAGTGAAGAGCTGTTAAGACAGCTACCTGAAAACTATAAATAGTTATTCTTATTTCCCCTCTAAAACATATGACTTGATTCAGAATCATGAAGTGTACATGACTTATCCATTCATGTCACAAATTAAAGACCTTTGATATTAATCATGCCAAGAAACACAACAATGCAAGAAAATTCATGCCAACTGGGGAATTCCCTCGAAATTGCCAAGTCAAAAAAAAAGCTCAAAGTTTGAGATCTTTACAGCCAATAAGTTTATGATCACATATAAAAGCTGAATACATTTGAATTATAGGATAAAACAGTCTTTTGTCATTAAGAAATAATTCCATTATTAGTAATCAAAAAGTATGACAGCATTAAAACACTATAAAACAGTGAGATGGTACATTACACAACATTAATAATTTTTGGTGTAAACTTGTTGATGAGTACATGTAATCTAATATATCATTATCTTGAAAATGTATTTTCAGTTACATTTTAAAATATAGTCAAATCCCTTCACCATCAAGAAACAATCTCCTTTTTAGGTGTCAAAAACCACCTTCATCAATTCTCTCAAGTTTGGCCCACAGTGCTTTGACACATGACCAGCAAATCACTTTGTAGAAAATGCAATCTTTCAGCACACGGTTCTCACAGAACCCCAAATTACTGGTCTAATTTCTGTTTTACACACACCTAAACCCAGCTAGGCAAATAGTTTATTCGGGAAATATCTAGACTTCTAGTCAACTTGACGAAAAGCAGCAAACAAAAAAGCTTTATTTACAAAGCAGTTAGTAGTCTGTTTCCTCATTTTCCCCATCTTCAGTTTCCTGCTCCTCTCTCATTACACACACAGTAATTTTCCATTGTCTGATGCACCCTCCACCACTCAAACCCTAAACGAACTTACAGGCAACCTGGGTACTCAGAAGGGTTGAGCCTACAGGCCAGTGCAGACAAAAATCTACCCCAATATGACAGCTCTTAAGACTACCAAGAGCTTGTGGAACATACTGTCATCAGTCTCAGAAAGAACACAGAAATTCCACTTCCACAAAAATTCTGGGCTTAGACCGTTTATGTACCAAAGTGCCCATATATAG